TGGAAGAACTAAACAGCAATACAATTAGGAACGCTGTACTTCGATGTCGTACTTGATAAGGTTCTTAACAATTTGGTTTTACGAGAATTTCTGGAATACCTTATTTTATTATTCTTCTTAAATATACTCCTTTAGGTAAAACGTTGACACTATGACGTTTAAGGATTTATAAGCTGTAACTGACTGAATTTGAAGAAAGAATACTTCTACATTTATCTGACTAGTTGTCAGATAAATTCTTTCTTCACCTCGCAAAAAGAAGTAGGCAATTTTGATGCTCGCTCCGGTGTAATGTCGGTTAATGTGGCCGCAGCCTATCATACTACGGCCATCATTAGCGGTTCGAATCGATGGACAAAGGTATTGCAGCGTCAGACTTAGTAATGGGGAAATTACTTAGTAAGGTCAACTATACTTACGGTTTGTTCGAACATTCGCTCTACAGTTTCTTCCTTTTGCGAATCAATAATGATTACTTTAAAAATGCACAATAATGCTGATGCGCGTCATAGTTTGGCCTTGAGTGAGAAGTCAAGTGTATGAAAGTGGGAGAGCTGTTCATAGATCGCGTAGAAGTGATAAGTGCAGTTTGTACTAAGATCGAATGAACCGAGTTCTTCCCATTGAGTATACAACGCGATTTACATTAATGGGATTGTCTAAAGTCACAGTTCACTAAAGCGAGTGAAGCTTAAGCATCGGTTTAGTAATATCGCATGTTAGAAATAGGTCTCTTCTAGATGATGATTTTTGATGATGATGTCACATTAAAACAGGATAATCTTAAATCTAGTGGGTAAGTGGTAACCGAGTGGGTTAACCATTGTAAAGTTAAGCAATCCTAACCAGTTCAGTCTCTAGATGGGTGACCATTTTTAACACATTGTGACCTATCTGTGCCTCGGAGAGCACGTTAAGGCGTCCGTCCCGGTTGTTATATGAATATCTGTGGCAATCGTTACGGCTAGTTGGAGCCCTTAAAAGTGTAATAACAGTGTTTCTACAGAACTTCGATATTGCCTAGTACTTGGATTGTGGGGGTCTGACGTCAGAAGTTCAGACGTATCGTAGTAGACTTAAAGCCGACCCAACCTAGTTTGGTAAAAAGGCTCGGAGGACGAAAAAAATTAAATTATCACTTTTAAATGTCGTCTTCTGAGGTAGTCTTTTAATTATCTGGAGACATATACTCGTAGATACGAATATAATTTTTAAAATCATGTTAATCTTTTAGTTCGTATAAAAGAGCCATGTTAATAAAACTGGTAGAACGTGCTATGACCGCGAACATACCAATGTGTCTATACACTCTGCTAATAATTTTTCCCACATACATATTTTATCGATAAGCAAGTGCTATTAATTACTTGATAACTAAGAGTAATAGCTATAAAGATTTTTTAAAGTAAATGCAGTTATGAAAATGTACTACGAACAGTGACACGTACCTGCCTTTGCTCGCGTAGGAATCGATTATATTGATCATTATGTATAATGTCTAAGACCACAAAGTTCAAATTGTGATAAAATCAAATGTCGTTAATATGTTTTGCCAAGATAGGTAAGGGACATGCTGAGTTACTTTTACTATTATATGTAAATAAATATATACTATAGCCTTGTTTATTTAGTTGATAAAATTACATTAATAATGCCAATTGTTATATATAAAAGTGCTACACGGATAAACATAAGTATGTAATAATTTTTCCTACGTGCTCCATATTTTTTTCTCGGGGACTTCCTTCCTAGGCTATACCCGAGTCCCTTCCAATAGATCCACTTAGGACGGAACTCCGTGTGGTTTTAGTCGGCTCGATCTCCCCAGTTCAACCTTTAATTTGCTGTTTAGGCTATGTGCTTGGTAGAACATTAGGCCTATAACTACTATGTGAAAATCCTGTTACCTTTATAGAGCTTGTAACTTTCTTTGAGAAGCGCTCTATCCTAATACCAAAAGATTTTTTAACACTCTACCCGCGTTAAAGACCCGCTAACATTTTATGTACATACAAATTAAAAAAATAATAATTTTAGACCTTAAAAATCTAAAATAAGAGATTGTAATTTTTTTTTAAGGTCTACTAGCAACCGAAATTACTAGTATTCCCGTTAACCCCTCCCGCTAAGCTAAATTGCTTGTGTTAGGAGTGGGTTCACGTCGGTAAGGTACTGGTCCGGATTTGAACCCACGACCTCTTGATCGCAAGTCCAACGCCTTAAAGACTAGGCTACTGCTGCTTAATTGTCAATATTAATGAAATAATTATGTTTAAATTGTTATATCGAATGTACAAATAAACTTAACACTTATTATATTCACTGAAAGGACATAACTATAATAAGCATGTACAAAACAAATAAGTAAAAAAAAATATAATAAAAATATATGTTTATAAGATATGACGGTTTCAATTTTCAAATATTATGAGTTTCGATTCTCATAAAAGCAGATGAAACGTGTTATGTTAAAGATTTTAAATTGAACACAAATACCTATGTACCTATGTTATTATCTTGGAATGCATGATTGGAATACATACTCAATGCATAATTGAGAAAATCATTGAAAACTAACTTCGAAAAATGTGTTTTAGACATTATTTTTTATGGATTTTCTCATTAATATATGGAATAGTTCCAAGAATAAAGATTTAATTCGTTTTTTTTTTTTACATTATATGTATATTTACCTTTACACGTTTTACTTGTTTTAATAAGAAACAAGAGCAATAAATATCTAAAAATTGAAAACCGTTTCAATTTTTCAAACGGATAGTTTTTAATCTCCTTAAATGTCAAAGTACTATAAGTGTTAAAAGCTAATGTCCCATTGTCAAGGACGTTCTGTATATTAGATCTATATTATTTTAATGTGTAAATAACCGCCAATTACTTATTGACATTATCTGCAATATAACTAAATTGTTCAATTCATCAGTAAATGATCAGTATGAAACACTATAATTCATGATTCATCATAGAGCTAGTAGCTAACAATAATGCTCACAGTCTGTGTTGTATAGTGGAAACTACCGTAGTCAATGAACAACATCCGCAGTTATTATCTAAATTTAGGTGTATTACAATTTTATTTAACTATTTTGTGACTGCTTTATTAATAGTTCTCTTTGTTGTGAGTTAACCCGTGTTAGGAAGGAAGTTCATTCATAAGTGGCTTAATAAAAAATATTTAACTCTTAATCTTAACAAAACTACTTGCTTAGCGTTCTGAACTTCAAGTATAACTCAACCCTCCTACTTTTATAGACGCCTACTGCCTTAAAGCACATATCTGCGACTTTAAAACAATAACAGTTCTTGTAACTGTATGATTATAAACAACCAACCAAGTGAAATATTTAGATGTTATTATTGTCATTTTGTTAACTGGAAATGTCATTTATTTAATTTAACAGCACGAGTACGCAATTGTTTTATATATTTTTTAAATTGCGTCACTCTGTGGACATGGAGTGGGACCTGGAGGCGAGAGCCCTTGCGGCACTGTATCAGTGGCGCAAGGAGGCGCAGGAGTTGGGTCGATGCCCCGAGATTCGAGAAATCGATGACCGGAAATCCCAACTCCGCCAGGTCATCATAGGGGAGTGGAGGGAACGACTCGGGCAACCGAGTGCTGGGCACGCCGTCATTGCGGCGGTAAGACCCGTTATGGAGGATTGGCTCGAGAGGCGTCACGGGACCCTCTCATACCGATTGACGCAGGTGATCACTGGGAAGGGATGTTTCGGAGATCACCACTGCGATGGCCAGACCGTGGACGCGGCTCTCCACACGCTGGCAGAGTGCCCGGCGTGGGTTGAGCAGAGGCGAGACCTCGTGGCGGCCATCGGAGTGGGAGTTCTCTCGCTCGATAGCCTGATTGCGGCTATCGTGCGGAGCGAGAGTGCGTGGAACTCTGCCGTCTCCTTCTGCGAGCAAGTTATGCTCGCGAAGGAGACGGCGGAGCGGGACCGGGAGAGGTTTAGAACTCTCCCGGCCCGCCAGGCCCGGGCACGGGCCAGGCAGCGCAGTCGACTCAGGCGCCGGAGGTCGCAGAACGACCTCCGTCCTCCATAAGCGCAGGCCTGGGGGTGACAGGTGAGGCCATCTGTCACCCTAGCAGAAGCAGGCCGGGGTGGCGGCGAGCGCGTTGCGAAGCGCGCTCGCTTCCAGGGAGCACAGGGAACATGGGGTTCCCACACGGGGCGGGGGTCGTCTACTCGTCTGTAGATGACCCGAGGTATGTCGGGGCACCAGGGCCTTCCTTTCTAGGGTATACCTGGTTCCCCGGCTATTAGTACCCGGCGAAGGCGTGCGGTTTTAGTCGGTTCGAGTCCGACATGCCACCGACAGGTGGTATCCGAGGGGATTTCCGCACGGAAAAAAAAAAAAAAAAAAAAAAAAAAGGCCTTAACCTTTAGGCCTTTTATATATAGGGTAGAGTACCCACCTCGCAACTATACAGCGACTTTAAAGTATGTACTTTCTGTTCGACAGCTATTCGTGCTTGAAACGTCGCTAGAAAACATGCTTGACTTGTTTATGACCCAAACTTCACCAACGTTGCTCGTATAAAGTTTGCCAAAATAAAAATAAAACTAGTACAGGATGTGCGGCATAAAATACTTTCAGATAAAAAAGATATGAATGTTCAAATCAAATTCGGTAAAAACTTATCTAAAACAAAAACACGATTTTTTGGCCATAACTTTCTTAGCTTGTGTGACTAGGAAAGCCGTTCAGGAATTCAATTATAGCTTTGATACGATTTTTTTGTAAAAAAAAATCGATAAGAAATAATACTAAGTTTTCGCACAATTTGCGAAAATTGTCGTGGGTTACCATTCTCACGACTCCATAACATGTTCATTATCAGATTTTTAGATTATTGACAAATTAAATGATGTTTTTTATTTGTTTTCAGAAAATGTCATAAAGAAGAGTCTTCACAAAATAGATTGTCTCAAGTCTGTGAACAGTGCTGTTAAACTGTGAAGATGGCAGGCGGTCGACGAACAATAACGATGATGCGTCTAGGCAGGTGTGTCGCCTTCCTCGCCGCTGCCGCCTTCCTATTGCCGTTCACCATCCTTCTCATGGTAGCAGACCAGCAATATAACCTCACCTACAGTTCTAAGAGAGTATTCTACCAAGAGGTAAGACAAGGACAACACGAATTTCAGCATATAATAACAACCTTAGGCACCAATTACTATGCTATTTGTTAGATAACTGAGATAAAATCATTTCCACATTTGACGACATACCTATTGCATAGGAAGTTAAATTGCCTTATAAACCCAACTTTAAACTTAAAATAAATAAAGGGTTACAATTGTGTTTCCAATAAATTGCTCTTTTTATGCTTGGGCAAAAGCATTTACAGTAACGAAAGGATTTTAATTATAGAATAGCTTGAACTTTTCATACCATTTGGTGACTTCGTTGGCGCTACTGGATTATCACGCCGAAGTCGATTAGTCAAAATAAATCAACATCTAAGCCAGATCTGTTATCTGATCTGAATGTTTAAGGTTTATCATATATTATCTAAATGCCACGACAGTTCCATTAAGAAGTCATTTGTTATGTTTGGGTACATACAATTTTTAATACAATAGAACAAGCATTACGTGGCGAGAGTATAAAGTTTTATGTCAACCACGAGCGAATGTATTCAGATAATTCTAAGTAATACTTGAAATAAACGGCTATATCCGTATAAGCGACCCACAAGTCCGCATATTAATGACGCATATCGAAATACATTGTGGTTACTCGTATAAATGTTCGAGAAAAATCTGAATAGATCTTTCACGACAGCGAACCGAAATGTTCCTATGTGATTGCAGACATACAGTTCAAATTTATTTTTTCCAGAGTGACTTCTATAAAATTAATGGAACGTATTACGCGCCAGCGTTCACGATAACAACACCTACTATGTTAAAGACACAGGTAACAGTCTTGTCGACTTACAACGAGCGAAGCTATCGGCATAAGCGCACAGCAGACTAAACACTCGGCTGTATCGGAAAGAGACGATTTGCTATGATTAGAGTCTGAGTACCACCATGTCACATGTAATAATAATCAAGGTTGTGAAATACTAATTTGTACGACACATAACTCACTAATTACTGTCAATTTATGATTAAAAACATTATTATAGCTGCTCATTCATATGTTTCTGTCATTAGAGATAGCAGTTCACCTGTTATAACAATACGGTGTTAATAAAATATGCTTTAGACAATTTGGTTCTTCAAACAATTCAAATTGGCTTACGTATACGTAATCATTAAAATGACAATATGACGTATGTATATGTGTGTATATATACAGAATTGAGAAAAGAAAGAAGTGCGATGTGATTGTAGCACGCACGCCTACATAATGAGGTGCCAAATGTTCACAAGACATATAAACACATGTAGACATTTTATATTCGCGTAAATAATATCGCCTGGGATGTAACTGGCTAAAAAACAAACATTATGCGGAATTATGTAAAAATTGCAAGTCAAAACAAGTAGGAGTGTGTCCAAAGGACATAATTTCATCGATGAGTACAAATAGTTTTGTATTTGAGTACTTAATTTTGCGAAATTCAAGTAAAGGGAGTATTTAGTACAAATATAACAGGTATATTCACGTTTGATTAAAGTTTTTAGTGTGTGCAATTGGCGACATACTATTTCAAGTTGATGGCACCTCTAATTACATATTCTTAGTTTTGTTAGTCTTCAGCGACAAGTGAATATCGAATCGGTAATGCTAAACAAATCCAAGGATATTTTATCATTCTGTTACTTCCATTCCTTAAGAATGAATTGCTGAAACAGTAAGTGCTGTATGTGGCTTGATTAGCACTTTGTGTGAAATTGGCAATCTCAGTGTTAACTAGACGCTAATCAGATAAGGTCGTCTCGTCTCCGATATCGTGCCGCCTGCTGTGTGGCAAAGCCTTAACACTGCACTACACGCTTAATAACTAATTAAACAAATATACAAAGGTCTGAGAACGGCTGTGCACGATTAAGAAACTAACTATGAAATCTTCCCTCAATGGGAGAGACACTGAGCACTTGTAGACGTGTTTATAATTAATTATAACAAATATAACAAATAACCATTCACTAATATATTAAATCGCAGTTTATACATATACATATTTGCATGTAGCCCTGTCGTATATATTATTTACATAAAAATATTTTTTAAGCTCCGATTAGTGCTATCGTAATTATTATTCGAAAAAATAAATGCGGGACTTACTTTAAACACTAATTATTAAGTATTCATACTATTTTGCAAAGGTTATCCTCAGGAGTAGTTAGTTATTCAGTTTAGACATTACATACGTTTCAATTGCCAGGCTTGACATTGGCCGACTGGCTCAGGGGTGTACCACTGTGCCTCTAATCACGCCAATACAACCTAATCGAAATGTCAGGTAAGGTCATGTCATTAAAAAGTATGTAAAAGGTACCTATTGATTACCTTAATTAGGAAAAAAAAACAATTGTATATCCTGAATCGTGAAAGTCTAAGTCTAACATGTTCGAAAAAACAGATACCGCAGAGAAACATCATAGTTAGTATGTTTATATATTTTTACTTCAGACTTGAATTATTATAGGTCTTCCTAGTAGTAACTGGATTTAAAAGAGTAGATACGCTAATCACAACACGCAAGTTTTTTCCATCACGTATCAGTATGACGATCGGCTTCAAACGTAACAACGAAACTTTATTTCTAAATAATTGTTACAATTTATGTGTCTTATACCTACGTATATATTTGATTCTACAGCTCTTACTCTGATACCTTCTTTATGGTAGATACTGCTGTTAGTTAGTTATTAACCAAAATTCAGAAAAAGGAATAGTTTATCAAATAGGTTACTTTTTTTTAAACCTTTTTATCTCAGAAATCCGTAGCTTTTTATATGGGACTAATCACTCGCACACGCCCACTACTGTAACTCCTGAACAGCAGGATCAACAGCAGTGACCCACGAACACACAGTCCCAAACAAGTTGACCTGTCTTAGATCCCGCAACGAATTTAATCAGAAGTGGATTAAAGGAGTAAGTAAAACAATAAATCCTTTCAATTCATGCAGAGAAAGCAGCATGTAGTTTATTCTTCTTTGTAACTGTCTCTGTATATTTCTATATGTATATTTCAATTTGTATTGTTAAAAACCCACTGTTAAAGACGTTATGTTAAAAAAAAAGACACTTGTTAAGTACATGTGAACGACACTATAGATAACGTAATGTAGATGACAGCTACATATATAAATATAACACCGTTCAATCAGATTTTAAACAATGATTAGATTACAAAGTAGTATTGTCGATTTTACAAGTTTCTGCCTGGCGCAGTACTGGCTTGGTTAAAGTATACTATTATAGCTTAGGTAAATTATTAGTATTTATGTTAAATAAAGACAATGTAGCATGTAGGTGTTTAACTTTGCACAGTGAAGTTGATGATACTTTAAGAAAAGATAATTAACTATTAACAGTGTAATCGACATCAATTCAAATCAATACCAGTTTTGGTAGAGTTAAAATATTTTGATGAACCATTTAACCTTTCTGAAACTGCACCCAGTTTCAGAAAGTATGACTTCAACTAACTGGGCTGCTCTGTAAATACTAACAATATTCGAAATGCATAATTATTTCAGAAGATCTCGCAATAAAATTTGACAGTTTTGTTAAGTGATCTGATTATCAAATTGAAGTGCCTAATAATGTTATCCAGACGGTTGACATACAATTAGTTAATTTTATCGTAGATTATTGCTAGGTAGCTATTTTATTATATTCAGTTACCGCTTGTTTATGACATAACCATGACACGACGTCAAGTCCTCACTGTTGTCAAATTGATTTCTTTGAATGATTGACGTTTATAAAATAAATACATTAAAATAAAACAGAAGAACTATTTACCGCGGCATTACATTACCTGATAAAAGGTATAAGAGTCTTACATTTGCCCCTTTGACTAATAAACAATATTACTTATTAACTGAGACACGACAAATTTGAAGACATTAGTCAACGTCTTTAGATACGTGTAAGTAAAAACATAAACGGTTGTAACATACGATAAATTAATATTAAAATTGGCTTTGCGTTCAAGTGAGGAAGCCCATTGGGCTGTGCTTTTAAACTTAACAAGTTCCAGTTTTATTAAAAAGTTATAATTAGTATATAGATGCGCCTTATTATCTATACAAGGTGACATCGATATTTAGGGCTTTTTGGGCCTATACTAATTTATACTTCACCGACAGTGACAAACTAATTTAGTACTAATAGTATTTAGAATTTGGTCGTTGTCTTTTAGCGCATTCGTACAGCAACGCCATACAAGGCGGATGACAATGGAGGATGTTAAATAAAAACGTGGTATATTTGTATGCTGGTGACAACTCGCGGCCTCGGCTCCGGTCGAGGCATGAACCATAACGATTCATTCATTTGGTCACTACGAGGACAGTGTAACCATCAATGCAACAGACAGTAAAATGTCATTGTTCTACATTTAACTGCTAACAAGTTCAAAGACGTTAAAAAAATTAATGCATGAATGAATTTCGATGTCTGTACCTCCAAAGTTTATAAGATTGGTATGGCTGATAAGGGAATCATATTATTATACAGACACCCTACTTTTTCAACTATGAAAATAAAATAAATTAAACTTAGGGCTGTTAGAAGTTTTAGTATCCACTTGTGTAAAAATATGTCAGGACTTTTCAATACGTAGTTGATTAATTACATTCTCTTCAAGCACAGATGCACCATGTGCCGGTTGGAACAAAGTTATCTCCGACCTCGAGGAGCACTGGCTAGAGAGTGATTAGATTGTTAACAAAAGTAAGCTGGACAAACATACCAAAAATATAAAAACTATCTTCGACTTAGTACTTGCTTCATCATCAGCCTTTAATAGTCCACGGCTGGACACAGGGCCCTCCTTGGAAACTAGCTTCCCAGACGGGTTGGTATTGTGTTTGTCTCAAGTTTTCCTTCTCTTTTTGCAGTGCTGTTGTCCTGCGTAGTTTGCTCCCTTAGTCGCTTACATATGTTTATTTTACACAATAAAAACATATAATATTACGAAAGTGATGTCATGATAATTGATGTTTAAAATTAGTTTTTTAGCCTTATAATGTAACTTAAGGTACTAATGGAGACACGATGGGGACGGTTACACAAGACCGATCGTGACACTGGCTTTGTTTACTTCGTACCGAATACCTGAGGCACTCAGAAAGTTTTGAAAAACTAACAGCCAATGTACGTAGGTTAAAACCTCCTTTCTAAGGAGACGTCTATGCCCAGCAGTGGACTGTTATAGGCTGTTGATAATGATAATTGATGAAGTTGGGACATCTCGCCAAAGTAAAACTCTCCATAAGAGCATAAAGATTTACTGAACAGCAAATGAGTAACTGTTACGTAAAAGACGAAAGCGTAACCAAGACACAGGGAAGATAATTTTGTTATCCTATAACGGGAAATGTTATGTGCAATCTCTCAACTAAATTTTTTAGCTATGTCTCAAATAATAAGGTAGTCGTTCTTATTTTATTCAAAACGTTTTAGTAATCCGCACAGTAAGTCACGATTTGGTTCATTCCACCGTGACAGCAATTTACGAAGGTTCATCGCCCGATCTCTTCGACACGTTCCTAGTAATTACACTACACTTGGGGCACTATCTAATTTCATAAATCACATTCACTTTCAAACCCTGGATATGTTAGTTATAAGTTAGAAACATTCATTAATTAACTGAACGGTTTTGTCTTGAAATTCGGATACCCGAACTCCCTTTCGGTAAGATTTAGTAAAATGTTAGGAGTGAAATCATGAAATTGCCGATTGGAACTGAAAAATTTAAACTCGTTTATTTTCTAAAATGTCAC